ACTGTTGATTATTCCGTTTTATATGAATTCCATGTTGTACGAGTCACTTAGATTTTACAAATACGTGAGCCGTTCACAGCCCGACACACGTATTTGTAAAATCTAAGTGACTCGTACAACATGGAATTCATATAAAACGGAATTATCAACAGTGTTATTGTATTTATAAAATTACAGTTTATTTTTTAAATATGAACATTTCATTTGTGGATCGTCTACGCCTGACGTGACGTTTAGTGGTTACTTTTAATCTATTAATACAAGCCTAATAATTTAAAAATAGAATATTTATAAAATAATGTCTCATTTTTAATTTGTAATTCTTATGTGCTTATACATAACAAGGGATAATATTGGAATCGTGTCAAATTTGATCCTTCGAGTTCTTTCAAATATTTGTTTTGAGTTTTTTTGTCTAGTACTGTGTATAGATGATAGAATATTTGCTTCCCTTTGTTCTTAGCTTTTTATTATATTTTATATTAAATTTATTTTTTGAGACACTGAAAAAAAAATATAGACTACCACGAGAACCTGCATACTCCTGATTTAACATTTTTTATTAACTTTTAATGCCTTTCCTGGATCTGCACCAGATTTTCCACACTTATTTCCTGTGACACAAAAAAATCTGCACACTACACGTGACTGTCACGTAAATATATCACCAGTTATGAATGTCGCATAAGTTATCTTAAAAACTATTCTCTTATAAAGTTATCTGTAACTAAAAATACTTGAAATCTCATTAAAAAAACTGGCGAAACCAGGCTGAATACTGAGAGCTGGACAGAAATATCACAATAAAAGTAACTTTTGAAAGTTCTTGCATAATAATAGTAGAGGCAGAATTGACAGTGAAACTCAACATGTGAATAAAGTTCACATTACACAGAAACTACAAGAAATTTTACAGAAAGCGGTCATCGTGATAATAAATCGGAAAAATTAACATCGTCAGAGAAATAAGCTTCTAGCTTTACTTCGTGCCTCAAACTTTCTTCGCTGACACTGTTCAAACGTGTTCTAACGTTCAACGAAATGAATGTAGAGCGACGACATTAAGGCACAAAGTAAAACTCGAAGCCTTTTTCTGGGACGATGTTTATCTGATTTATTATCATGATGACTGTTTCCTCCAAACTTCCCTGTAGTTGTACTCTATGTAATTTAAACTTTATTGGCATCAACAGTCTTACTGTCAAATCTTCCACTATTCTTATTCCCTAACTGATGATTCTTAACTGATGCGTCCATTATTCTTATGCCAGAACTTTTAAAAGTTTCTTTTATTTAGATATTTTTGCTGAGCTCCACTTTTTCAACCTGATTTCACCAGTTATTTATTAGATATAGAAGAAGTAAATTGCAATGTAATTTCTTCATAAAGTTGTGAGAAACTCGATTTTATAAACTACAAATTTACTTTCCTATACTATAATTTATAGTATAGAAGGGATAGTGTGCTGGTGTCTTTTCCTAACTCAAATTGAATGTTTATTTACAAAGTACTAAAACTTTTAAACAGAATACAACAATTAAATACCTTTGATGTGCATGGGGCTTCATCGACGTGTGTCTGTTTATGTTGGAACCATTCCTTCTCGGAGTTTGTAGTAAAGCGACATTGATGACATTGCCATAATTTTTCAGAAAATTGCAAAGTTTTATCTTTCTCGTTTGTTTTAAGGTGTTCCTCTTGTATCGAACTCGTTGCTGAGATTTCGGCAGAAGAGTGCATCTCACTCTGTTCCGACATTTTAAAAGATTTTGATGTACCTTCTCCTGTAATTTGCTAAACAATTGAAAAATATTGATAATTATGCAATTCCTTTTTATACCATTCTATGATGCTTTTTACATTTAATTTAAAACTAATATCAGAACTACCATAACAATGATAGAATGTCGATTTACTTAAACATTATTTAAACATAATTTACTTAAACGTTATGAAATACTTTTGTTTGTGAATCAACTTTGACCATCAGCGATGTTTAAAATGAGCTACAATTTGTAAACACTTGATGGCACCGACATTTGTAAAATTTAAATATCCGATACAATAAAAAAACCTTTCTAAGGACACTGTTTAACTCTTTTCCAACGATTTCCTGTGTTTGTTTGTTTATTTTGTTAAGTTACGGCTATGAAACACTAGGTAAATGCCTTCTAGAAAATCTTTTATGAGTAACTGGCTTCTATTCAGGCGTTACAGACGTAGAAAAAACCCGGAAATCTGTTCGTGGCCAACCCGTTCGGGCGAGGCGCGAACCCACGACCGAACTCCGAGTGTTCTGGAACAAAATCGCTTGGCCCCGATGTCTTATGCACCCTTGTCCCAGGTATAGCAGTATATTTAGACCCCATTAGCAGGACTGAATATTTGGGCTTCTTTTGCGTATTTATTTAAATTTAAGTAGTATCTGATGCACTGACTTGTGATCTAGATAGTTGGGATTCAATTTTCTGGAATAAGCAAAGAAATATTACAGTAGAGAATCGATTAACTGTCACCTCGGTTAACCGACCGTCCTAGTCGGCAAATTTCAAATGTCCGCTAGTGATGTGGCGGTACAATATTTGGCTATGTCTTGGCTACTTTAATATTATTTTTACTTGTTTTAGCTGGCAACAATCATTCGACCATAAAAGGGAGCCAGTATTTAAACGAAACTTAATTTTCTAATTTTTAACGATACAATAGTGACGATTCTTATTTTTTTTTTTTAATTTCATAGGCTTAACATGGAGGAAAATTCAACGCGAAGTAGGTTAATAGCGATATACTAATATACTAATTACATGGGATACAATAATATACTACATTAATAATTGATTTTTTCATACTTTTCGGTTATCCGACTTTTCAATTATCCGACCATCCCCAGTCTCCAATTGAGTCGGATAATCGAGGCTCTACTGTATCACAAAAATAATTGAATGGAAAATAATTAAAATCGCTTTAAGAATCTTTAATATTGTGAAACCGTTTGTAAATAATTGTGAATCATACCAATCAACTGCATATTGTTAAAAACTATATTCATGTCATAGATTTTCATTGTTATTATAATACAAAAAAGACCGTTACGAAATCAACAAATTTACAGTTAAAAGATTCTCTACACATAGACCAAGTATATGTTACTATAGAAATTATTACCTATTTGTGATTTATTGTTTATTTTAAACTAGAATATTATTTAAATATATTTTTATTTACCTGAGAGGAAAACTGTTTTTCTACTATTGAATGAATTATTCGCTTGTGTTGATTTAAGTTCTCTTGTCGTGTAAATTTTCGAAAACAATAATCACACTGAAAGGGTTTTTCTCCCGTATGTTTTCTCTCGTGACGTTTTAAAGCAAATGGAGTAGAAAATAATTTCGAGCAAACTTTGCATTGATATTTTTCCAAATCCAGAAATCTCGGCGGAAGCTAAGCCAAAATTATATTATAGAAACTACTATTTTTATATAGAATGTCAAAAGCTTATATAATATCGAAAACATTAATAATATACAATTAAGTATATACACATTAGCACAAGAATTACAGCGGCCGGATGGCCGAGCGGTCAAGGTGGCAGCCTACCACTTTGGGGAACCCCGGATCGAAAAATCCTAGTAATTTGTCGGGGGTGGTCCGTTCGGATAGGTCCCTCACCACCCGGCAGCCCCATTGTGGGTCTGGCCGAATCATAATGGGCTTGCAAAAAGTGACCGTCTTATTGTCCGCGGGGCAAAAAGAGTTTAAAAAAAGCACAAGAATTATAATCAAAGATATAGAATTTTTTATTTGTTGCTCTTAAATTAAAAAATCGCAATAAAAATGTCTGACAAACACGAATAATTTGAACACTTAAAATTATAAATTATAATAAAAAAATTATAAAAAATGACTATCAAGAATTTTCAGTTAAAGTGTTAATTGTTTGTACGAATATAGACTGAATTTCCTTTAAAAAATTTCTTAATAAATACTTACTTTTTCAGTAATATTCGGTTCTTTCGAATGTTTTAACAAAAAATGGTCGTTTAAACTGTCTTTCCATATAGTTGAAAATTTACAATAGCTACATTTATAAACTTCTGTTTTTGAGTGTTTATTTTTGTGTTTTCTCAAACTTGATTTATGTCCGGTAGAAAAATCACATTCTTCGCATTTGAATTTCTTTTCGTTTGAATGTATGATTAACTTGTGTGCTTTCAAACTGGAGATACGAGTAAACTGTTTCCGACACTCGTCACAAGTGAACTTTTCGCACTTCGGATTCTCCTTCAGATGTTCGAGGAATTGCCTTTTGTTTGAAAACTCACTTTTGCAAACCTTGCATTTAATGCCGCCATTTTTGTCACTCGAAGCGGCCTCCTTATTAAACAAATATAAATAATATATGTAATTATATTGTAGTATTTTTATGTTAGAATATCCAGATCGATATAAATTGTCTAAGTTTAACAATTGTTGTAAAATTTTGTATTCTCATCATTGAAAGACACATAATTCAAGAATACGAAGAATATTAAAAGTCTTTTCAAGTTGAAATAATTTCAGTAATGACACTTACCATTCGCTGGAGTTGTGACAATTTCTGGTTTCAAAAAAGCGACAAATTTTGTGATTATTGTTAACGTGTAATTATTACATTGCATTGTTTAATTTAACAAAATAATGTTCATTATATTAATGGAAGATACAACAATATAAATATTTTTCAAGAAATCCAGTCGAAAGAAAACAAATGATTAAATATTTGTATAAACAAAATATGAAGACAGATGAAAAGAAATTTGTAGTGAAACTTTAATTCGTTCCTAAATGTCGTTCAAAAACCGACTTGTTTTCAAACAAAAACAAAACAAATTTCCCCATAAGAAACAACATAAAACGAATTAATTTGTTCCCGACACCAAACACAGTTGTTTTTACCTTTTTAGCTGTATAACACGCATAAAAATGTCTACAAATGCAATAGTGTAAATATAGTTAATATTATGATCTATCTGTGTCTATTCTAAATATATATTTTAAAAGCACAATGTTTCCTCACCACCAAACGAAACGGAAATAATCACTTTACAAAATCAACAACGAGTTGCTGAACTTTCCTGGAAACATTTAGTGGTGCCATCTCTTATAGAATATTTTTCTACCTACAATAAAATAGCAAAGAGGTTAATTTTGAGATAAGTATGGGTTTTACAAAAAATAAAATATAAAACACTTATAAGAATTAAAATCGTCATGAAGTCCGACCCTACTGGAAACACAAACGTCTTCCTTTTATCTCCCCACTCCCTCGCCTTTTTTTACAACTAAAATTTAAGAGCGTCAATCCTTTAATAAGAAAACCTCACTATAATATTACAGGTGGACACAACTAATACTGCCAAATTGACAAGAAAACCATCGAGAACCACATCAGCAACGTCTACGCATCTGCTGCTGCTGTGACCACTCCACTGCCTGACTGCAGTCCACGTGGCTCCCACTGACAACGACCCATTCGGCGCCTCCTTCACCCCTGTCGAGGTCGTAGCTCCCCTCTCACGTTGTCAGAACATCACCTCTGGCCCGGACTGCTTTCGGAATCTCCATTGGCGGCAATTGGTCTTCAATGGCACCATCCTCTCCACAGTTGTTAACACTTGTCAGCGCATTGAACACACTCTTGCTTCCTGGCAAGAATCCCACACCGTTATGTTTTTCAAGAAAAGCGATTGTAACGACATCAACAACTGAAGGCCGATTGCGCTTTCAAACACTATAGATAAGCTCTTCACGGTCTGCCTTGCAAACCGCATGATCTAATACCATCTAAAATCTGGTTCACAGAGTCGTAACTAGCATTTTGGACGCTTGTGGCCAAGAATAAAAATGGCGCCTTTGTAATTTTTATTATTAAAAAAATAATAATTTTATTCTAAAAAAATGCTATTATAAAAATATTATCTAATGACATTTAAATATTATATATATATAAAATATTTGTATGTTTTTAATTTGGAATACAGGTTATTACGAAACGTTTTTGTCGGCGCCTTTATTAATGCAGGGCTGTGGAGTCGGAGTTGGAGTCGTGGAGTTTTGGTGTTTTAGCCGGAGTCGGAGTCGGAGTTGGAGTCGTCAAAAAATCCGCCGACTCCGACTCCCTTTTACTTACCAACTTGTTATGTATATGAAACGGAGTCGGAGTCGGAGTTGAAGTCGGTAGATTTTTACGCGACTCCACAGCCCTGTATTAATGTTGCCGCTTTCCAGTTTCCACAGAATAGAAATGAAATTGACTTAAAAATTCGTGATTTTTACGAGATTTGGAATTTTCCACAATGCTTTGGATCAATTGATGGAAAACACATTCCTATTTCACCACCAAAAAAAGACTGCATTGACTATTACAACTATAAAAGTGGGATTCTGTGGTCCTCCTTGCTGTTGCAGATGCCAAATATATGCTTACATATATAAATGTAGGATCTCCTGGAAGGAATAATGATGCACACATTTTAAAAAAATTCTCACATTTTTTTAACATGACTACAAATTTAAGGGAATCCTCCTTATAATTAGGGGAAAGAATTGGTGGAGAAGTTGTGCCACATTTAATTATTGGTGACTCTACTTTTCCTTTACCGCCAACTTTAATGAAACCATTTCCAAGTAAAACAGAGGATGAAATAGAAAAAATATTCAATTTTAGATTATCTAGAGCTCGACGAGTAGTGGTAAATGCCTTTGGAAGGTTAAAAGCAAGATTTTGAAGACTTTCTAAACGAATGGATAATAGGATTAATATATCAAAACAAATACAGTCGACCCTCTATAACACTGTTGATTATTCCGTTTTATACGAATTCCATGTTGTACGAGTGACTTAGATTTTACAAATACGTGAGCCGTTCACGGCCCGGCTCACGTATTTGTAAAATCTAAGTCACTCGTACAACATGGAATTCGTATAAAACGGAATAATCAACAGTGTTATAGAGGGTCGACTGTATTTGTTTTGATATATTAATCCTATTATCCATTCGTTTAGAAAGTCTTCAAAATCTTGCTTTTAACCTTCCAAAGGCATTTACCACTACTCGTCGTGCTCTAGATAATCTAAAATTGAATATTTTTTCTATTTCATCCTCTGTTTTACTTGGAAATGGTTTCATTAAAGTTGGCTGTAAAGGAAAAGCAGAGTCACCAATAATTAAAGGTGGCACAACTTCTCCACCAATTCTTTCCCCTAATTCTAAGGAGTTTATATTTTGTAGGCATGTTAAAAGAGAGTGAGAATTTTTTAAAATGTGTGCATCATTATTCCTTCCAGGAGATCCTACATTTATATATGTAAACATATATTTGGCATCTGCAACAGCAAGGAGGACCATAGAATACCATCCTTTATAGTTGTAATAGTCAATGCAGTCTTGTTTTGGTGGTGAAATAGGAATGTGTGTTCCATCAATTGATCCAAAGCATTGTGGAAAATTCCAAATCTCGTAAAAATCACGAATTTTTAAGTCAATTTCATTTCTAGTCTGTGGAAACTGGATAGCGGTAGACATTAAATTATTTATAACTGCATTGCAGAAGTCTATAACAATTTTACAAACGGTGGATTTTCCTACACCAAACAAATGTGAAATAGTCCTATATTCAGACGACGATGCCAATGTATATAGAGCAATTGCTACTCTTTTATCTGTAGAAATACATCGTCTCAAGTGAGTATTATTTCTTTTCATTTCAGGTAATGCAGCACATAAGAAATTAAACGTTTCTCTAGAAACTCTAAAGTTTTCACGCCAACTTACTTCATCCATTGCAGGAACACACTCTTCCCACCATTTCTGATTTCTTGGGATCTTCCAAATTCGATCACTAGGAAGCGTAGAACAAATCATGGCTACAACACATGCCTTTTCTTTTGCTCGTTGTCGCCATTTCAATGCTTTTGTTCGTGTCAAACGATA